GAAGCACTCAAATTCAAAACTGAAAAAGGCATGAAGCTTCTGGGATTTACTGAGGCGTCAAACATACTGCGGTAAGCATAAAGACATAGACGTATGGTTGTCTGTAAACTCTTGGTTGTTTCAGTTGAGAGAACTTTTCTTTTCTGTGTTTCTCCCTGCATGTCGACAGACATTATTACATGAAAGACGTGAACATAGTTGTTCCGGATCCGAGCAAAGAAAAATCTGTTATTGCCGTCTCTGCAATTGCAAGAGAAATGAAGCAAACAAACAAGGTGGCAATTGTACGTTGTGTCTGGAGAAATGGACAAGGGAATGTGGTTGTTGGGGTCCTGACTCCAAATGTGTCTGAACGAGATGACACCGTAAGTTAAAACAGTTTTATTCTGCTCATATTAGACACTTTTATTTGAATCTAACTACGTTGATGATCATTTTCCTTTTTTTGCAGCCTGATTCTTTTTACTTCAACGTGCTACCTTTCGCCGAAGATGTCCGCGAGTTTCCATTTCCTTCTTTCAGCAGATTTCCTGCATCGTGGAAGCCAGATGAGCAACAACAAGCAGTGGCAGACAATTTGGTTAAGATGCTTGACCTTGCACCTTCTGCTAAAGAGGAAGTACTAAAGCCTGAACTTACTCCTAACCCGGTTTTGCAGGTAAAAGTATTTGTCTTCCTGCTTTTGACTATCTGATAGTTGTATTCCAATGCGTTTTGAAGAAAGATGTTATGTATTTTTTTTCTTATCAGCGCTTTTATGAATACATTGAGTTGAAAGCAAGATCCATGGATGCTGCTTTACCTCCAGTAGATGAAGCTTTCAAGAGGATTATGGAGCAGGATCCAGAACTCTCTTCCAACAATAAATCCATAATGGATTCATTTCGTAAAAGTTTGGAAGTCATGGAGAACCCAAAGGTTTGTTTGTTCCCCTGAATTTCCATCAGCTTTCAGCGAGGAACCTGAAATTATCATTCTTAATCATTTCACATGACTTTAATCGCAGTTGAAAAAAACTTCTAAGAGATATTTACGAGATAAGCCATCAGGTTCAGATGATGAAGACAATCGCATGGTTACTTATAATGCCAATGAGAACAAAGTCGACACAATCGGAGATGCAACCCCAGTTCAAGATTTTGAAGCCATGATATCTCGTAGAGATAACCATGATTGGATCGATAAAGCAATCAGTCAAATGAAAAACCGAATAGTGAAGCTCGTAGAAGATAGTACCCATGAAGGTGATAAAGCATTGGAATGTTTGCTTGCTCTACGCAAAGGCTGCGTCTTGGAACAGGTCTCATCTGCTTTTTTTCTATCTCGACTTTTGCATTTTACTCTCGAAAGCATTGTTAACTCCTTGTCATTGGATTCTTACATATGTGTGCTCAGGAGCCAAAGCAATTCAATGAGTTCTTGAATCATCTATACGAGTTATGCCAAGAAAGAAAGTTATCTCATTTTCTGAAACATTTCACGTCGAACGATATCACGTTGATTCCCAAATCCGAAGCAGCAGACAGGTTTATAGACAGAAATCTATTTGATTTGAGTATTTGTGGCTAATTAAATTGGTCTGAATGTTGGCTGGTTCCTTGATTTCAAGCAGTGATGTGGCGGATGAGGACGTTGGGGATTTCACATTCAAACAAGAAGCAAAGCTCGAGAGCTAGCTAATTTCTGAAACGACCTTTTTGTAATCATTCGAATTGAGTTTTTGTTGGTTAAAAACAGTATTAGCTTTTTATACCTTGCTAATTAAAATCTAAAAACTAATATGAATTGTAGAATTGTAAAAATGTGCTATTTGGTCTAATAGTTGACCACATGTTTATTTAGTGTTTTGGTAACGTTAGGTAAAAATATATGACGAGTTACGATATCTTTAAGGGAAAATTTCCAGATTTTTAAATTGAATTTAAAAGTTAACACCAAACTGATTTTTTTTTTTCTCTCTCCAATTTTTATTATTTTATCATAATATTATCTTTCTCATTCAAATTATTAACGAATATGCTATTATACATTTATTATTTCAATTTTTTTTTAATTTGGCTAAAATCTTTTTGGTGTTCCTAAAGACATTTTAATTACGAGAATGTATCTTTTTCAATTCATTCAACCACCATGAACAACCACGAAATGAGAATAAATGTTTCTCAACCAATTTTAAAACTATAATAAATAAATATCTGAGCTCATTCACTCATAACTTTGCTCATTCTTTCATAATTTCTTCTCCAAAACATCTGGGCTAAGTTACAATGCAAAGGCCATGCATTTTTGGTCTGGCTACTCGACACCTAAGTTGTTTATTTTCGGTGGAATCCTGAGTTCGGGTGCTTAAGAGAACCGTAGGCGAGCTCAATTTTGTTTAAGGTAATCGTCGCACTTCAATTTCTCCAAATTTCAGTTTTCAAATCGCGAAAGTAGACTTCTCATGAAGTATACTGAAGTCTACTAGTCAACATAAGGTTATTTTTGTAATTGACTTTTTAAAAGTAGACTTCATTAAACTTCACGAGAAGTCTACTCGATATCGTTTGAAAACAAAAAAAAAGCCTAGTAGACTTCGTTTGAAGGCATAAGATACGAAAAAAGGGAGGTTATTTTTGTAGTTGACTGTATTTTGAGTTTTTAATATAGACTCCCTTATGAAGTCTACTTTTTACGTCTGCATAAGAAGTCTACGTTTAAGTTACTTTTGTAGTTTGATCAAAAATGTATAGGTCATTTTAGTGTTTGAATAAAGTTTCTTAAAAAAAACAAAATTCAGAAAATTCCAAAAAACTTCAGTAGACTTCAAAACGAAGTCTAAAAACTGTAGACTTCGTTGGAAAGTCTACTTATATTTTTCGGTCAAACTTAGAAGGAATCTTTTTTAAGTAGACTTCACTGTGAAGTCTACTCAAAAAATTCAATTGCAAAAATAACCTATTTATTTCCGTAGACTTCTATTGAAAAAATAGACTTCAAAAGTAGACTGTCAGAGAAGTCTACTCTTGAATGAAGTCTACAATAGAAGTCTACTTTGTTAGTCAATGGCTCGGTTAAATGCTAAAGTAACATTTTTGGCTGGAAGTCTACTTCTGAAGTCTACTGAAGGAAAAGTCAACGAATTGGTCAATTGCAAAAATAATCTGTTTTTAAGTAGACTTCTTTAGTAGACTTCACTATGAAAAAGTAGACTTGTCCTCCACTCTACGTTTGAAGTCTGTTGTAGAAATCTACTTATTGCATTTTTTTAAAAAACACGTTTTAGGCAAATTTATAAAATATTTTTTCAATTTTTTGGATTATAAATGCTTTTTAGTAAGTGATTGAACTACCCAGTGAATTTTTGAATCAAAAATTTTGATTTTTAAGTTACTTATCTTATCAAAGTAGACTTCGTTGTGTAGTCTACTAATGTTCTTTGCGGGAGAAGTCTACTCTTGCTACAAAAGTCTTTTTGCAGTGTTTGTTAATATGGTTTATTGGTTATTTTTTCAGAGAATGGCTCAAATTCCTGTTGTGTACGGGGAATGGAAGATTGAGGAATATTCAAGGCATTTTGTGGTTGACATGGGCAAAGGTGGGAGAATGTTTTTTTTGAATGATGGTTACACCTTGGGGGAGCTTACTGAGATGGCGCGAGATGATTATAACTTGGGCAAGAAGACTGAGCTCATCGAGTTAACCTACTCGCTACCAGACTCAATGTTGCAAACTATGGCTCGAGATACACTTACAATGCATGTCATCAATGACAGACAAGTTTCAAGCTTGATTACGTTAAGGAGAGTGCATATGGTATGTCTGTGTGTGTCTAGTCGACTGGAGATGGATACTGAGGAGAACCAGGAAGGCTCAGATGAAGATTTAGGTGAGGAGTCTGAGGAAAATTCAGAACATTCTACCGATGATGAGGCAGCCAGTTCTGATGTGAACGAGGATGGAGAAGATGGAGAAGATGCAGCTTACTCTGACGAGGAAGATTACAGTGTCTACGACAAAGTGAAAGAAGAAGATGATGATGAAGATGAAGTCCGTATTGATAATGTCAGAAACGGATATGGTGAAACGGGAAGCACACCATGTCATGGTCTGATAATATATATGTTAGGACAAGTTTCCCTACAAAGGACAAGCTGTTATCAGAGGTTAGATTGACTGCGATCATGTTAAAATTTGTTTTTAAAACAGAGAAGTCTACGAAGACCCTGTTTGTGGCTAAATGTCGAGTGGAAAGATGTGCTTGGATGGTTAGAGCGAGTGTGAAGAAGGATGCATCCACGTTTTGGGTGACAAAATATGTGAAAGACCACACATGTTCAATAGGACAGCGAATGGCTCAGCGTGGGAAGTCTACTCCTAAGTATATTGGAAAGCTGTTTATAAGCCATTTGGACATCATTGATGGTCTTACACCATAACATGTCAAGGATTCAATGAAGCATATGTTTGGCATGAAGATGGATTACACTACTTCATACAGATCTTTGATATATGCCCAACAATTGGTCAGGGGAACAGCTGAAGATGGATATGCGAGTCTTCCAGCTTACCTACATTGAGTTAACAAAGCCAATCCGAGAACTGTATCAGATCTCTATGTAGATTCCAATAAAAAATTCAAATATCTGTTTCTCGCATTTGGAGCATCGATTACAGGTTTTCAGTACATGAGAAGAGTTATTGTGGTGGATGGATGTCATCTAACAGGGAAATACAAAAGTACTTTGTTGGTGGTCACCGCACAAGATGAAAACTTTCAGATATTTCCTTTGGCCTTTGGAATTGTTGATGGTGAAGATGATGCTTCATGGGAATGGTTTTTTCTAAACTGCGTGAATGTGTCTAAGATGGTTATTCTTTGGTGATAGTTTCTGACAGACATCTTTCTATTAAGAAAGCTTGTCAAACTGTTTTCCCATGGACCAAACGAGGGATATGCTACTATCATCTACAACATAACATAGTAGCAAAGTTTAAGGGGAAGCAGTTCCTGTACTTGGTCAAACGTATGGCTTATGCTTACAACCTCTATGACTACAACCGGTACATGGCGGAGTTAAGACAGATCAAGCCTGAGCTTGCTGACTATTTGGAAGAAGCAGATGTCTCCCTTTGTTCCTATGTTCATTTTGTTGGAGACAGATACAATATTAAGACTAGCAATGTCGCTGAGTCTATAAATGTTGCACTTAAAAAGGCCCGTGGCTATCCCATATCATTCATCTTGGATTTCATACGAGAGAAGCTCGATCGGTGGTTTTTAAAACGCAGAGAGGATGCTTTGAGTCTCACAACACATAATACTCGGGGAGTGGAGTATTTGCTGGCGATTCATGGACATTATGCAGATGCAATGGAGGTGGAACGAATTGACACTTGGAGATACTATGTGAAAGGAGGAAACAGGAATTGTCTTGTTGATTTGGAACATGAAATGTGTGAATGTGGTGTGTTTTATATCGAGAAAATCCCTTGTTCACATGCTATTGCAGCTGCATTAGCCGGTGGGATAGCTTTGGATTCGCTTGTATGTCCTACTTACTCGAAAAACTACTTGTTTGCTGCATACTCCGCCAACATATATCCCCAAATTTCAGTGATCCAAAGAGTCCAACTATCACTATGTCTGCCACCAGACATTCGCCGCAAACCAGGCAGATGGAAGAAGTCTCAGTGGCAATCATGGCTAGAAATTGCTAGGAGGAAAAACAAGAAGCCAAGGAAGCTGCACAAACTATACAGCTGATCACAATGCAAGCAACCTGGTCATACCCTACCGAATTGTGTAAGTTGAGCTACTCATCTAATAATGTCTTATACAATATTATCAGATTTATTTACTAAACTATATGTGTCTCACTTAGACGTCGAAGATTCACCAGGACAATAACAAGAAGGCTCTGGAATAGAACGACAAGACTGTTATTGTTTTCAAGAAGTCTAAAATTGAAGTCTACGCTAGAAGTCTACTATGCATGTCTACGTTATTAGTCTATGTGATACTTGGTTAATGGTTAGATTTGAAACAACTTCATTTAAGTAACTGCTTTAACGACTTTAACGGTGCATGTAACCGTTGTATCTGTTTGTCTCTGTTATTTCTGCTTATAAATACTCGATGGCCACGAATTATAGTTTCATTCCAGACCCTTGAAGATGTACAACCTGATAAACTTCAACTCTCTCCCTTCCGATATTCTGTGGGATATCCTTTTAAAAATCACATCTTATTCGTACGGTGCTCTCTGTAAAGCAAGGATTTTTTTCTAAAAAAATAAATGAGATTTCTAATGAAGAGGGTTTTTTAAGAGCCGTTGATCTAATAACCCTGAACATTCCATGGGTCTGGGATCAACATGGGAGGGTTGACGCATTCTTTAGGTGCTGTTTAGAGTGTAGGAATCCTACATTGCAATTCCTGTGAGGCGTTTCTCTAATCTTCTATGAAGACAGCATCCAAGTAGGGTTTGATTTAATAAAGGTGTCATCAAATGGAGGATGCCTCATGGCTACTTACTCCATGGTTATGTTCTCTTTAAACATGGATGGCAGCCATGATGTATTTAACCTCAGTCATGATCTACTTCCAGCAGAGGCAACGAAGATGAGGAAGACTATGCAGCACATCAATAGGTCTCCGTGTACTTATAAGAAGCCTCACGAGTTTCACGAACCGCTCTTCCATGTTTTTGCTAAGGCACAATCAATGAAATGTGCTTGTATGAATCTGTCTAAGCAACCTGGATGAATGATGAAAGCCTTGTCGACTCATATGGTGACAAACTATGCAGTCTTTGCTTCTGGAAGTTGGAATGTTCCATATTCTGGAAAACAATTCCTA